AGCACACTAGCCGACCTTATCCCCTTCACATGGGGAGAGTTCACATGATACTGCAGCCCACTTAGTTATTTGATCCACGGTGGACTGTCATGTCGTGCAAACTGGCTTATTTAAACCACAGTGAAGCTGCAAGGCCTGTAGGAGGTGTGCAGCCACCTCTCTGAATATGCAGCCTCTGCTCAGGGGTTAACCTGTTGTTTGAACCGGGCAAACATGCATGATTACAGATTGTTTAACCTGTGGCACACATGGGCACCATGGTTCATCATGGATTAAATGGCCCATGATGATTCTGGCATGTCATCTGAATGCAGCCAACAGGAGGTCCAAATGCTAGCTTCTTTCCGACAGGGAGGGAGATGCTAAATCAAGGGAAGGGAACCCTTTAAGCCAGTGGGCAAACAGGAAATATGGGACCTGTCCTGGGAAGAGCCATAAAATAGCTAGTCACAGGGGACAAGCCATCTGTCCAGGGGCATTCATGAGAAATTAGAGGCTCCCTCTTCACTCTGAAGCAATGCTAGCTGCCAGGAAGAACACACACACACACACACACACACACACACACACACACACACACACACTCTGAAGTTAAATAAACATTGGGAGGAGCAGCGTGTCCTGGGCCATGCCTGGGGACACATGTCACCAGCAGGCATTACATTGCCTACTCCAGCTTTAAGTAGCGGTTTCTTCTCATTATTATTATTTTTCTCTTTTAATTTCTGAAAAAACAGCCAAAATAAAACCACTTCAGTATTCAAAATAATGAGAGGAAATCAGTAATTAAAGCCCCTCCCTCAAGAGAAAGTGACACTGAAGCAATTAAGAGAGGCTATTCAAGGTGCAGTTAATAGGCAACACCCCCCCCCCCCACCCAGGAAGGACTGAAGCTGAAACTACAAAAGGACACTTTTAATTGAAGTTGCTGGGAATCTTTACTGAATATGACTTTCGTGTGACTAGACTTATACAAGGAACTTGGCTGTGGGGAGGGAGGTCCTTGACCGTGGGATAATATGGCACTATAATGAAGGGTTTATGCTGCATTAATTCTGCTTCCCGCTCACTCTGGGAAAGCAGTGCTAGAGTCGTGGTGTGGAAGTAGTCCTAAATATGGATCTAAAACCTGGCTCCAAGATCCTCTGTTATGTGCTTAGGATCCACAGCAAACAGGCCAGCATGGAAAGACTTTGCTGAGAACTTAAAATATGAAAACTAACGGACAAAAGAAGGATTGCTCTGACTTAGCCCTGATCTTTTCTCCCAGTTCTGTCAAGAAGCACATTTCCTCAAAGTATTATTTGCCTGTCTGATACCCTCTCCCAAAATCCACCCCACAGATATTTCTCTTTCTCTTTCTTTTGGGAGAATCCCCCCTGCTTCTCCTCCTCCAAGGTTTTGCATTGAGAAGTTTAGAAATGAAAAATATAACCCTCCAGTCCCAGAAAAAAGGGGGTGGGAGTGGGGGTTCATTAGCCCTTAATTTGGTGGGGTCAGGGAAGGAGGGTTATGGTACTGAGAAGGGAGGGAACGAGGCAGAAAAGTGCACAAGATGGCTTTAGACTGCAATAAGATAAATATCTTCTCTTTCCCAGGAGCTACTTGGGATAAATCACAGCACCCTGAACTATAGGCTGACCCTGCTGCATCTACAGTTATTCAGGACCCATCAGGGGTGGCTAAAGGAAAGAACAGGAAGAAAGAACTGATGTACCTTTTCCAATCTTGACAAGGATCTCTAACCTCTGTATGTTACAGAGAAGCAAGAGAGAACACTAAAATAATGCCAGAGTGAGCAAATGTTGCTGTGGAAAATAAAGTGGTAAAAACTGGTGCTGAAACAAATCCAACTATATATGGAAATCAGTGAAATAGTCCTAAATGTTCAAAAACTTCAATATCTCATGCATCTTAAATCTTGTCCATAGTTTTTTTTTAATTATACACCCAGAATTTTCTGTAATACTTGATCTCTACTTCTCCCAAAATCCCACTGCCAATTTTTTATGAATTTTGAGGTATATATACTTGGAAATATAAATTCATTCTAACAAATGAGGCTACTTTCTTATACATATCACTCCCCGCTGCAACATTTGAATGAACATACTAAAAAAAGAATAAAAAACAAAATCATTTCCCCAGCTAAACTCATTATGTTAAAAATAGTTTCCAACAATTTAAAAAATAAAAGAAAATCATTCTTCCCCTTGCAAAATCCCATCCTTTGACAAATGCTGAGGGGACCCAAGTAATTAAATAATGGCAGCATTTGGATGTATTACTATTGGTGCAGCCTTCAAGGAAGAGATTGAAAGCATCTACTTCTATTATAGATTTAACTGCAGTTCAGTATGTTGTCCAAACACTAAATTGTGGTTAATTTTAACTTCTGTTCATGAAAACAAAGGAAATTTATGAACTATGATATGACATTGGCTTGTATCTCCTAACCACAGCTAAGGCTATTCACAGGTTTTATGCTTGGATAACACAAGGAGCTGAAACCAACCTAAAATTCTTTCTTGTGCACTAAACTATAGTTTAGTATTATGTCTGAACCCAGCCCATCATTTCAGAGGGCTGTGCGTGTTAATTTGGCATTCCTGGTAAAATTTAGCAATCCCACAAACTGTTCTAGACATTTTTCCTGCATCAGAAATGAAAACATGTGTAAACTCAAAACTGTAATTGTGATTAAACTCTTGTTTAAAATAAATAGTAAAATTCAAATCTAATGTCTTCTGGACTATGGAAACAGAGAACTTGATTTTGAAAGTCTAACTTAATGAGATTAGTAGCTGAAAACAAAATTTCAACACTTTCAGTAAAAGAGGCCCAGAAATACACATACCTGTATCTCTGTGTGTGTTCCAAGACGTTAGTATGAGCCTGGGGAAGAGGTGTGAGATACTATTTTAAAAAGTCAGTTCTATTAAAAATATTTTACCTTCTTTTCACATTTGTTTCATAAAGAAACATCCTGACCTGCTGATTTTTTCCCATACTTTCTATATCTCTTCATCTAGTTAAAAAAGAACTGAAAAAAATCCAAAAAGATACAGAATGACACTTCAAGAGTCCTGAGCATCATCACAGGGGTTGGGGAAGGTTTGCTTGTCATAATAGTATTTGAAAGAGCTGGGGCTTTTAAAAAACAACACTCACATGAACTAAAGAAGAGGTATGGATGAATACCCTCAGTAATGGGGAGTTAAATAAAAAAGCACTTGAAAAATTGACAGAGAGTTCTAGCAATATATAAATATATGTACAGCAGAAGAGGGTGGACCTGATCCTGCCCCAGATCCCTCATGAGCGGAATCATAGTCGAGTTATAAAATAAGGACGGGATGAGAGTGGCAAAGGGCAGTGTATTCTGTAATTCCCCATTTCATGCACCTTCAGCATTGGCCAAACTCAGTATTGGATGCAACAAGACAAGATGGCCACCATTCCCCATCAATCCTGTCTTGGAGCACACATATGAAGGAGCAGGGAGGGGACTCTTGTTTGTCCACCTTGCCACTGTATTGGCAGAGTATGTGATGATGTCATGAGAAGATGATCATGACCTCACTGTGCACAGAAGCAGGACCATGTGTCCCGGGCCTCCTGTGAAGGTGCTGATTTCAACCAGGCCCACAATGTTGACCCCAGCCATAAAACAGATGAAGCCCAGAGGGGTGACTTCATCCAAAGAGGATGAGCTCAAAGCAGTCAGTGATGTCAACAATGCTGGAGGAGGCCCACAGTGATGAAGTCACCAGAAATCAGCATCATTGCCAAGCCTGGCTACTTTGATTTCTGTAGCTACTGGCTGAGTCCATTGTGCTGAAATAATCAATAGGTGACAGGCACAGGAACCTTGACATTGTTCTTAATAATCAAGGTTGACAGCACTTTCATCAAATGTTGACAAGGCCTCTTCAAACATCAACATGTCCAATTTGCCCCAACATCACACAGTATTGACAATAACTACAACAGCTGATCTCATGAGTCCATGTGATGCCCTGTAGGCTTATCTCAGCTAATATATTGACAGACCTTTCTCTTCATGGACATCCTCTATAACTGACAAGTCACACAATGTTGATGTCAAAGGTCCACAGTGTTGACACCATCAAATGTTGATGGCGAGGGCATTGGAGGTCAACAAAACCTACAGCGCTTACATCATCTGCAGTTGACAGAGTCCACAGTGTTGACACCATTGGTGGTGTCGATGGTGTCAGTTGGTCAGTGGAGCATTCACAAGAGTTGGCAATGCTCACAGCGCTTAAGAGTATTGGAGGCAGAAGGTGCCAACATCATAGTCAATCCACAGATGTTGTCTTCAGAAGTCTGAGACAAGGCCCTCAGCAGGGAAGCCATCAAATGTTGATGGACAGTGCTAGTACTGTTGTTATCAAAGACGGGAAGGGCCTGGCAATTGTGACATTATTCAAAGCTATCACCAAGGCTACATGATTGATGCCATGAAGGATCTACAGGCCTGGTCACCAGCAATCAATTCAGCCTTGATGTTATCAGATCTGGGCAGCAGTGATGTCACTGGACACAGAAAGAGATAGCAGCAGCATATACATGAGACCTACTAGTTCTGACATCTTCAGAAGCTTACAAAGACTGCACAGTAGGTGCCTTCTAAGAAACCAAGCAGGCCTTGACATCATTGCATCTCGACATAAGCCACAGCACTGATGTCATCAAATAGCAATAGCCATCATCATCATCATTATCATCAAAGATGGCCAAGACCTGGCAGGTTGGGTGGATATCATCAAAAGCCAATAAAGACTGTGATGGCATCATTATCAAAGACCAGGCTAAGACTTGACATCAACCAAGAAGGAGGCCATCGGGCTGAAAAAGAGAAAAGGAGCCCCAAGAAAGATGGTGAGCACCAGATAAAGGGTGGAGTGGAGCAGAAAAATGTAGAGAAATATGGCCTTGGAAAGTCAAATCAACCTGAGTTGGGAACTAGGGACGTCTCACACAGTGACCTCATTCTTGCTGCCAGTAGGTAAGTGCTGGGTTGGGTGGTGCCCAGGGATGAACTGGACTTGGTCAATGGTGCTTTGCCTCTTGGCTGCAAAGCCCTGGCGTCTGGTGGCGGCTTGGCTACTGCTGGCCTCCCATGGAGCAGTTGTCTTGGGGGAATTATTGGAGGCAGGGTGCGAGTTCTTCATGATCATGTGATGGTGGTCAAGCATGGGGGTACTGCTGGCACAGACATTGGTCTGAGAGAGGGCCTTCTGGTGGCCCAGATGCATCTCCTGGAAGGGGCCTGTGCGCTGATGGAGACGTTCTGGCGAAAGCAACCGCTCCTGGGAATGCAAGTTTTCACGGGAGAGGAGGTGCTCCTGGGAGATGACCCGCTCTCGTGGAATGGTGTAGTCATAGTTTGATGGGCGGTAGCTTCCTCCTCCACTGCCACCATCTGAAAGGATATGTTCTTGGGACATGACACGCCGTGGGTTCTGTGACTTCTCAGAGTAGCCGTCTCTATCATAGTTCATCTTCATGGCATGCAAGGGCAGGGTCCCTCGTGTCAGCTCAGCAAGATGACGACGCTTGGCATAGAATTCGTCTAAGTCTTTCTCAGCTGCTGGGAAATAGGGGAAATAAGTGAGAGGTTACTGGGTGGTGGAGATGGGAAAGGGCGGGTAAGTGGGAAAGAGAAGACGTCAAGGAAGGAAGGAATTTTAGGAAGATGGATGGGTGAACACATAGTGCTTCCATGTTAGGCAGTGTGGAATTTTCATGTTTCATTGACTTGCTTTTGAATGAGGACAAGTAAATGATCCAAAGTTGCAGGTAAGCAGTGAAATGCCCAGATTTTCTGATGATACCACACTATTTAGGGTGGTCAAAACAAAAACAGAAAATCCAAAAGTTCTAAAAGGATCTCTCCGACTGGGAGAACCGGCATTAAAATGGCCAATGTAGTTCAGTGCAAGCAACCGCAAAGTGTCAAACACTGGAGCAAACAACAAAACAAAACCCCTAATTTTATTTTATGCTGATTTTGTCTGAGCTTGCAGTGACTGACCAGGAAAGGAACGTTGGGCTTATGGTGAATAGTTCTGCAACCACTGTGGAAAAGGCAAATTCCATGTTGAGGATCACTGGGAAAGGAAGGAAAATGAAACTACCAATATCATAATGTTAATCTATGGTACAATCACAGGTGGAATAGCTTATAGTCACTGCACCTCAAAAAGCATATTGCAGAGCTGGAGAAAGTACAGAATAGAGCAGCCAAACTGATTAAGAGGAAAGTTTACCTTTGGGGCTCATTAGCTTAGATGAAAAGTGAGTCAACAGACATGTCCAAAATTATACATGGTGTGGACAAAGTGGAAAATCTTCTCCCTTTCCCATAATATTACAACTCAAGGCAGTGGAGCTGAACGGTGAGCTATATCACCGTCCAAAACCCATCGTTGGGGAACACGTGTGGGAAGGTTTTATTTCATGCATGTGCCACCGGCAGGTTTTCCACTGGGCAGCTGCTTGGCCAGACTAGATGGGCCCTCAGTCTGATCTCAGCTTCTTAAGAAAATTGGCACATCCACTGAAAGACCTTGTAATGTATAGGTGAGTGACAAGCACCATGCATAAAATACACATCACTTAGTGAGCTCTTGAGAGTTTTGGCTGACAACTCCCATCAGCCCTGGCCAATATAGTTAATGCTGAGGGATGATGGGATTTGTAACCCCAACTTCAGAAAGGCTGCAAGTTGTTCACCCCGACTCAGGCTTCTGTCCATTTATAGTATTTACTTTTATGAAATGCTCCTTTCCATTTTAATTGTTGTTCTCTTCCATGCGAGCAACTCAAGAGAGTCTCAAAGGCAAATTGTCTGCAAATTCTCAGAGGATAAGGAGACGGACACAAGGACAAAACACTGACAGATATAAACATAAAGGCAGCAAAAGTGGGATACTGAAAGATGTGCATATGAGGAGAGAAATGTATCACTGTATCAAGATCGGGGATCTGACTTTGGAGAATGAGTGCCCTCCATTCACAGGTGTCCCTTTATCCCTTTCCTAAATGATCAACTTACCTAAACGTTTGAGTGAGGAATAGCGGTTGAGTTCTGACTTGACAGCCGTCTCATATGATGGGGGCAGATGGGAGAGGTTGTGGAACGAGCGGGAGCAGCTGAGGGTGTTGTACTTTGTGTTCGAGTGACTGGGCGTATGATTCACATGCCAGTCTAGAGAAATGAGAGAAACTATATTAGTTCAGCTTATGCTGGCTTCTAGTCTATATGGAGTTTTATTAGAAGATCTTCTTCCATTTGCTCATTTTAATTTTACAAAGCTTTCAACACAACACGGTTGGCACCCTGCTATGTCCCCATGTTGTCTATCTTTTGCAGACATAGTTTATCTCAATTTTGTCTTGTAAAACCCAATTGCAGGACCAGTCCCTGCAATGCAAATTATAAGGAGGGGAATATAATAGAAAACTTTGCTCAGCGCCCCCCCCCCCCAAATTTTAACTGAGCCCAATCAGAAAGCCTTCTTATCTGAGATCATGTAAGAATTCCAGTCCATCTAACCTGGTCTTTTCTACTCTGACCAACAAAAACTTTCTAATATTTCAGGCTGAGACCATCTTTACTGCTTCTTCCTACCTGATCCTTTTAAAATGGAAATGGCAGACTGGACTTGGGACTCTCTGCATGCAAAGGACATGATCCAGCAGTGAGGAATGGTTCTCCTACCTAACAAAGTGTTGCCCAGACTATGGGATTGTTCCCTTTGGAGGAGCCCTTCCCTATTCAGAACTGAAGACTGTCCTGCTTTTATCATATTTATCAATATCATATCAATATTTATCATATTTGTTTTAAAACTTTTAAAGAGGGTTATGCAATGGTTGCATGTCACTTTAGGAAACTTTTGTGTTAATCATTCTAGTCCATCTAATTTATAAAGATAATTAACATTAACAATGCCACTTTCTCACTTTCTGTAAATAAGGACTGCTGGCTATCCAACATCTGGTGCTTACCCAGGGTGGCTGTGTGGTGCTTGGGGCTGTTGACATTCAGATGGATGTAATTGTGATGCATGTTATCTGTAAAGCAAAAGAAAAGTTAAGCCGTGGAGGCTGGCAGGGAAGGATGTGAACTTTTAGCTACTGGATGAAAATCTGCCTCGAGCAGCCACGAGGGGTCACCAGAGTCAGATTTTAAATCCACTCTGCATCAAGAAGAGAGATTGTGTGCTGGTAAGTTAGCAGAAAAGACACACTTCCTAACTCAGCCGGTATTTAGTGGAAATGAGCTCCCACCTTAAGTAATGGACTTGGAACACCCGCGCCATGTTTACCCAACATGGGACCTTCAGAGGTGGGTGAGAAGCTGGACAATTGGGCACAGTGGTGGGCCTGGCCCACCTCCTCCCACCTGGGTCTTCTTGCAGGTATCCCTGGAAACACTATGGACACACTGTAACTTGTCATTTTTTCTGGGAGATCACAAATGCCACCTCTCAGGGCTACCTTCACAAACCCTGTTCCTGGCAGCCATAACTGTCTTCCCAGGGGACCCCAGCAGTAGCTTGAAGGAAAAGCTCATTTTTTAAAAATAGTCTTTTTTTCAGAGTATGTGCACATTATTTTTACTTTATGTTAAGTAAAAATAATTAATTATTTTTAACCAGAGCTGCCCTCTTTGCACAAATGGGGCAGGTCAGGTCAGGTTAGTGCCAGGGGGATCTTGGATTCAGTGACTGCCAAATCCAGCGGGTTCACACCCTGTGCAGTGCCCAGCTTAGAGAGTGAAGTTCATTTTTGCCCATGTGCAAGCATCCATCAGATTTGATAGGTCAGCTCCTTGCAATCACGTTTTGGGGAAAGAGGCTCTCCTCCTACCTTTTCCCAGTATGATCTCCTGGTTTCTTTGACGGAGATCAGATGCCCCTAGGTGCCCCCAGTTTTGCAAGTACCCTCCCCACTAGCAGAGGGAGGGGGCGACCTACAAAACTGGGAGGCATTCCCACTGACAGATGCCAAAGGCATGCCAAGCACAGCTACTCTCTAAACAGGGAATTCCCACACATTCTGCAGCTCCCCGAGATGTTAGGCACTCGGGGTCAATGGCAAAAGCATGGGGACACTTGGGACTTAAAATCAGCTCCCCATCTCCCCCCCACACACACACAGGGATCCTGCTTGACCCCCAAAACAACTTTCTTTGCATGATTCAGGGGGTGGGTATTAAGCAGGAGTCTTATGCCCCTGGATTATCCATACTTGGAAGGTGGAAGGCAGCCCATGGCCACATAAGCGCTCCCCCCCCCGCCCCCACTGAAAGATTCTGTTGTGAAGGGCGCTACCCACACCCCTCTCTTTTCCCAGTGCTTGAATATCTGAATCTCATCTCCCCATCTGTAAAATGGGTTTTTCTTCACTGTGGTTGGGGCTTCAAACTCGAGTCCAGGGACCCCCAACACTGCCAGCTGGCCAGGGAAAAGAAGCCTGGTCTTCTGTGTTTCAACAGCACCTTGTTCTGCAACAGGTAATGTTTTTAATGGCAGGAGCATCAACACCTCTAGTGGCTGAGTCTGCACAGCAAGCAGGTAGAGGGGCCAGGTGAAAAATGAGCAGCCTTCTCTGATCTCCAGGACTAATCTGATCTCATCTGGCTCCTCTGTCCTTTCCTTCTTGACCTAGCTCAGGCAGGTGGAAGCAGAGAGACCTGAAGGCACACCACAACTTCTGTGTGCACATTATGCTGAGCACCCCCCTCTCCTGCAAACTTTGGCATTTCCCTGAACAGGCTGATGCCCAGCTCTGGTATGTCAGTAGCCCTGCTTGGGTAGCCACCTTGCCTGCACTCATCGCCCGAGTTTGTGGGTTGTTAGAAGGCCTGATGTCTGGACTCCTGGCATCTCTGGGAAGGAAGGGAAATTTTCAGGGGAAAAGGGAACGGTGTAACTCAGCATGCCTTTTCATTCTACCTGGAAAGGAAACAGCTCATATGTTTGAATGAGGCCCTCCTCCCACCCCCTGCACCACCACAAACCTAATATTAATGTTCAAGCCAGCACAAAGACAGCCAGACAGCTAGAAGTGGTTGTCATGGCAAACAGGCTGTCTCCCCACAAGCTTTTGCAGCTTAAATCCTGCTGCTTATGCATACATAATTTAAAGGCTGCAACCTCCAAAGAGCTGGAGTTGGCATGAGATATTCCTATAAGAAAAGAGTCATCTCTTTTACGGGGCACTCTGCTTGATTTGTTGGTTTGGTTTGGATGGGCACATTATTGTTATTTTTATATTTATATGATGCTCCTTCCTTCAAGGGGCTTAGAATAGGAGCCTCTTATACAGCCTGTAACAACAAACCATGGTTTGCTGTAAGCAAAGATTAGACTCTGAACCATGATTTGCCAGGCGTAGTCACAAACCATGGTTTGTGCACCATTCCTGGCTTTCCCCTAGAATCCCTCAGCTGTTACCCTGAACTGCAGCAACTTCCCATTATGTGATTGTCATTTCAAATTCAGTGCCAAATGAGTTTGTCCAGAATGTGCTTGCCAAACTGATTTGGTAGCCACTCACTAATTATTATGCATTACATGGTGCTGGTTCACACATCATGACAAAATCATGGTTTGGGTTCTGGGAACCCCAGTTTGGCATTACCTCTGCACCATCTCACTGAGGAGACCCAGAGCACCACAGTTTTACAAACAAAGCTATATCATGCATTTTCATACTATTCTTTAATCAAGGGTATTAGCCTATTCTTTAAACTAAGATATTGCCAGAAGTTAGGTGTTGACATGGTCATCTCCACTACTTCCTATGGCAGGAGTGAGGAAACCCCAGGATGCTGTGGGATCACATGGCCTCCTTTCCCCAAAGCCCATCTCTTGCCAAATCACTGCTTTTATTTATTTTTATTTGGAATATTTTTATCCCATCCTACACAATCCAATTGTCCCAGGATGGCTTACAGTATAAATAGGCAATAAATACACAACAATTAAAAAACAGTAACAAAATACAATAACAAAAATGTGAGTGAGAATATAATAAAACCAGATTAAAATTATTTAAACCTTAAAATGTTGGGCAAATAAAAAGGTTTTTACCAGCCACCAAAAAGAATATAAAGTCGGCGCCAGGAGAACCTCTCTGGGGAGCGCATTCCACAGTCGGGGTGCCACCACAGAGAAGGCCCTCCTACGGGTGTTCACTCTCCTAACCTCCTTCAAGGAAGGTTCCTGGAGCAGGGCCTCTGCTGCAGATCTTAGGGGGCGAGGGGAAGGGGGTGTATAGGGAAAAAGACATTCCTTCAGGTATCCTGGTCTGAAGCTGTTTTAATTTTACTGCTGCTGCCACAGAAAATCCAATAGTAGCAGAGTGGGAAGTGGGCAGGGAAGGCATATGATTCACAGGTGAGTGTTGCCCAGCAATCCAACTGGAAAGCACCTCCAATGGAGGTCTTGCTGGGCTCACTCGGACACACTCACTGCTGCCGCGTCCCATGCACCTTTTACATGGCCAGCCAAACAGAAAACAACGCACTGTCTGGCGTGCTTTGTGCTTTCATAGAAAGCCAGGAAAAATCATGCCTCTAATTCAGCTGCTCAAGCTGCTGTTACAGGGCCTGGTTCAGAAATTAGCACAGCCCCCAAGGCCCCTACCCTCCTTGTGGGGCAGCCCTCTCCAATTCCCCACTTTTTACCATGGCTGCTTTTGGAAGGTTTCACCGGGTTGTACAAGTTCTTCGGAGGCCGGGCTGAGCCGTTGTCTTGGAAGTTGGAGTTAATCACAAGGCTGTTGTTGCGCTCGGTGCATGAGCTCGTGCCTGCTTGATGCCTGAGAATGTCAACCAGGGCCCTGGCCAGGAGAAGAAACAGGAGTCAGAGAGAGGGAGATCAAGGCATGACTTGGGACAGTCATCATACAGGCTGGGGCTGGGCACCTAGAACTTACATTTAAATCAGCCGTATTATTTGGGGAAATGGCCTGGTTCTGGCCCACCTGCATTTGGTTCTCTGGATGCTTCTGGTTCCAATTCAAGGTGCAGGTTTTAACCTATCAAGCCTTGCACAGCTTAGGACCTCAATACCTTTACACCACCTCTCCCAGCTGTGATCTACCTGGGCACTACTCTCAATCCTTGAGACTTCCTCCAAGTGCTGACACTCAGGAAAGCACAGAGGGTAGTGACAAGGAGGGGGGCTTTCTTTATGGTGCCCTCCGTCTATGGAACAACTGTCTGGTACTGAAATTATCATCTTTTTGGCGTCGTGTTAAGACAGCCCTCTTCTCTGATGCCTTTAAAGATTTCCTTGGCCACTCAGGGGCCTGAGTGGGATTATCCAAAACGCAGAGGTTTTTTTTTTTTTTTTTTTTTTTTTGGCTGGTTTTGATTTTTCAAATTTTTTTTTCGTTTTTTTTTTATTTTTTTTTTTTTTTTTTTTTTTTTTTTGCTATTGGCTGGTTTAGATGTTTCAAACTTATTTTTCCCTGATTTTATGATATTTTATTGTATTTTATTTTCTGTTTCCATTGATTTTTGTATACCTCCCAGAGAGCTACAGGCCTGGGCTTAACCCCTCAGCTACATCCTGTTGGAAACAGCCGCTTGAGGAGCAAAGTACAGCAGATGGATATGGGGTGAAGAACTAATGCTGAGGAACCAGCTGTGCACTGGGGTCAGGCTAGCTCCGCTCTACACGCTCTTTGTGAGCCAGGTAGAACGTTGGACTGGGATCTAGGAGGTCCAGGTTTGAGCCCCACTTATCCACAAAGCTCATTGGATGACTTTGGGTCAGTCACTGATTCCCAGTCTAACTTACCTCACAGGGTTCTTGTGAGGATAAGCATAATAATATCATCACACTGCATGTATATACCACTTTTTTCCTATTGTGAAGGACCCAATGTGGTTTGCATAGCTCGTGTGGCCTTCGTAGCAAGAACCCTGCAAAGTAGGTTAGGCTGAGAGTAAGTTAGGCCCAAAATCACCCAGTGGACTTCATGGCTGAGAGGGGACTAGAACTGGATCTCCTGGGACCCACCACACCACACTGGCTCCCCAGACTGAGGAGGAGGAGGAGGTATATGTTTGCTGCCTGGGGTTCCTTGAAGGAAAAAAAGGCGGGATATAAATAAAAGACATTTAAAAATCTGGACCAATCCCCCCACCCCCAGCTGCTTGTCTTTAAGAAAAAGGCATGCCTAGTCCTAGCTATACTGTAACAAGCTACTAAAATCTGATCAGTCATTCGGGCCTCAGTCTTTGGCAATCAACATCCAGCCCACTTAAGGTTGCTGAAGCGCCCTGGACAGGAGGGAAGCACCACAGCTGTTAGACTTTGTAGACCAACTCCGCAGGATCAGTCCTTGGCTTCTCTGTTTAAAAATGGATTTGGTAGCAGGCAGCTGATGGGAAGGATGTTGGTCTGATGCCTTGAAGAGCTAATGCTAATCAGAATCCTTCATACTGGCTTCCTTGCATGGGCAAATAGTCAGACCTGGTATAAGCAGCTGTTTATGTTGCTATAATTTCCCTCTTTGCACCTGGAAATAGTGGCCAGAAGGAGTGAACAAAGGGCAGGCATGTACCACATCCTAATCTGCAGTCACTTTGGATTTACTTTCTGAAGGGGTAGCAAAGAGCAGGATTTGCCCCCGTTTTCCCCCTGCCCCCCCCCCCAAGATGCAGCATGATCTGAGATGGCATCAGAGGAACAGAGAACCGTTCTTGGCTTGCAGCCTGTTGCCAGAAGTCTCACCTGGGGACATTAAGCTCCCTTCCATGTGGCCTCCTCGAGGCTTTGCTGAAGAAGAATTTGATCCCAACTCCCACGGCTAAGGTGAAGCTAATGACCCCGCAGATGACATACACGGTGCTGTTCCCCGGCTGCTTGCTTCCGTTCGGCACGTCGGGCCCGTGGGTGGCTGTGCCGGCCACCGTGGTGGCGAACCACTGAGGACTCTCGCGGCACTTCCCTTGCTCCAGCCTCCGGGACCGGTCCTCACAGCAGAAGCGGTACTGGCACGTGCCGCAGCAGAAGCGGTAGCCCCCGGTCGTGCAGTTGAATGCGGCGTCGTACTGGCCCATGACGTCGTAATAGCCCTGGCACGTCTCCGAAGGCCTGGCCCGGCTGGCACTGCTGGTCGCGTTGCTGTTCAGCGACGTCAAGCGCTTCAGATGGGCCAAGAAGCTGGGCAAGCCCCAGCTCTGGTTCGCGTGATGCGGTGCCTGGATGACGGCGAGCGCCGTGCGCCCGGCCAGGGTCTCGAGGGCCGCACACAGCATGACCGTCAGCAGCTGGTACATGGTGCGTGGGTAGCAGGGACAGAGCAGAGGCGTCCCAGCAGCTTGGCCGATGCGGTGATTTCAGGGATTTTAAAAAGCGTATAAAAGAGATCCGGGCAGAAGCACTGAAAAGATCAAGAGAACAGTAGATCATGAAGCAAACCTATGCAAGGCTGGGTTCATCTTATGATTCCAGCGATCACATTACACAACTATTCACCCTGCCTTTCCTCCTTTTGCTGGGCACCCGAGGTGGCTTACAAAGCTCTCTTCCTCCCCATTTTATCCTTGCAACACCAACCCTGTGAGGCAGAGGAGGATGAGAGTCCGTAACTGACCCAAGATCACCCAGTTAGCTGCCTGGCCAACTGGGGTTTAAATTAGATCTCCCAGCTCTCAGTCTACCCACTAACCACTGCACCACATTGTCTCTCTGTCCAGCATCCCATTTCTAAGCAGATTTTAACAGGAGTGTTGCACAGAAAAAGGAAAGGCAACCAAATATTGTTTCATGAATGAGATTGTACTGTCAAGAGAAAAGGTAAAATCCAATTTGCCTACAGTAAATGGACCAGTATAAATGACTGCTCCCTAGTTCCAAGGCAGAACACATGAACTGCCCACAGGAGTCCCCCTTAAGTTCAGTCTCCCACATCTGCCACGAGCTCAATAACAACGTGAGGCCATAGAATGGGGCCGGCAACTTTTTGGTGCCATGGGCACATCTATCCACTGTTACGGGCGCCACCACAAAATGACTCACATGGGAGGTATGGTAAAGGACAAGCGACTTTTCTCGAAGGCAGTGAAAGTTTTGAGCCCCTGTGCAGTAAAGAACTCTGTTGAACCCACAGTTTTCAGCACCAACAGAAAGCTGTTGCAGCAGCTGCTAAGCAAATGTGTTCATTTTTTAAAATAAGTTGGAACAGTTGGGCACTTTGGTGGGCAACAAGAAAGCAGCCTGGGGGTGCAGTGGTGCCCCTGGGCACAGCATTGCCTACCCCTGCTGGTCTTCAGAGTAGATCGGCCTTCCCCAACCTGGTGCCACACGGAAACACCCATCATTCCAAGTGGCAGGGCCATTCCAGGGCAGGGAACACTGAGCTAATGGACTGATGACCTAATCACCTGCTACGAGGAAACTTCTGATATACACAAAAGGGTTAAGCTCCACTTGAACCACAAGGAAAACCAGACTACAGATGCTTGAAATCAGGCTGGCTGGAGCCTGGTGCCAAGCTTCCCTTCCACGCAGCTCTGCCTTCCTGTGTGCTCATGTTTGCACCTTCAGGGAAGGGGGGCTGCCCCAAACAGGATGGCCCAAATCCCCCAGTTTCAGACTCCTCCAGCAAACGTCCCACAGCCTTTACTGCCAGAACTGTGTGTGCTGGTCCTGTGCTGCAAAGCAGAGCCCTTGAACAAGTGCCTAGGAACCCAGCTGGGCCCATCAATGTGTTCCCTTTTCTCTTTTGCCTTTGAGGCAGAACATTCTTCATGCAAGTTGATAGCTTTGCACACTGTGTTTCTGATTTCAGCCCCCAGCCCCAAATCTCTCAAAGCTGAATGAGAAATGGAAGATCCCCTTGCTATAAACTATACATGTAAACAGGTATACGTGCGTGTGAATGTACCCTAATGCACGACGCAGTGCACAGCCGTATATTCTGCACAGTGGGACTGCTTAGGTATATTTCGAGTGCTAGATAGCATATCACAGGCAATTAGATGGATCAAATATACCTTTAGCAGAAAGAACAAACAGCTTCTTGGCTTTTAGCTAAGTGGGAGATGGACCACTGCAGAGAAAACAAATGCAGCATACAGCAGGCACAGCAAAAGCTTTCTCGATGTGTGATGCAGTGGGGGAAGGCAATTATAATTGGCATTAGAGCTGAAGTGTTACAAGCATCAGACTCTTTTCTTCTGCGAAGTGTTGGAGGCGATGCGATTCCTTTCCCCAGCCTCCACAAGCCACTGTTCCAGTTTTCCCCACTGCTCCTTCCACGCCACATACATCCGCCTTCCCCTCCCATGTGTCCTCCGGATGCGTTGGAATGCAAGTCCCAGAAGGCTGGCTAGAAATGGCAGGAAGTTCATCCGCAACACACGGGAGGGCATCAGGCTGGGAAAGGCTGTCATAGATCTCCATCTCCATGAAAGGGTTTATCATATAGTAATACACTAAAACAAAGGAGGATTTATTGCCCTTAAATGGTATTCCCAAGTCTGCAATATAAAGAAGGTGCCCTCAGCCTAATCACGGAAGCTTTTATGGTACAAATGTGGGATCATTCACAACCCTCCTGTGTTTCCCTAATGGTTTTTTCATCTCTTTTTTCTTACCATACAACATCCATTAAACTGCAGGGATCCCCAATTTTTGCTGGCCACATTTGAAATTGTAAGTGTCATGGGTGCCTTCACAAAATGGCTGCCATATTGATGGTGGTATTTCCCATTCCCCAAATGGCTCCATGGTGGACATGACTATTCACAAAATCCCTTTTCCCTCAAAGGCAAACTGCTGAGGCTAAAGAAAGTACCTTGCCAAGAACCATGCCTTTGAACCCAAATAAAGATGGTGCTTGTGGGCAGCACGTTTCTCTGCAGCATGCCATTAAAAAAAATAAAACAATCTTAAAAAATAAAAATCAGGAGGGACAGCAAGCCTAACAGGTCCCACAAGAAATGTTTGCAGGCACACTGATGTCTCCAACAGGCAACACGTTGGAGACACCCGTGTTAAGGGGGAACGGACCGAATTACCACACAAGGTCTTCTGATTGCATTGCTGTGTAGAAGACCTCCATCTGGAAGCCCTCTCTGTTCCTCATCAGCCAAGAAGGCCATATTCGGTTTCTGGGGATTTTTGCTTTCACGGCTTATTTCCTCTCTCTTCCCTGCTGCCACCCTGCTTGCCTGAGTTCAAGTTAGCCATAAAGCTTCTGTTCTCCTACACAAGAATCTGTTTTCACATTTCAGCAAGAACAAGGAGTACCACCGCTCTCTTCTAGCAAGAAGCACGATCATCTTGGGCTTTGTACACAAGGAAACACTCCTTTGAGTCTAAGTTCCAGCAGTACTGCTGAAAACACCTTTTTTGGCACAAATGCTATACATCCCACATAAGGAATCAATTAGTTGAAGGTAACTGTGGATGGGAAGGCCAAGCTAGGTGCGAAGTTAGATACATATTTGCATTTAGCCTGCAGATTTTGTTTTTAAAGTGCAAATAGAAGCTGCAAGAAGGAAAGGGGCTGCTGATGATCGTGATTGTAACAAACCTGGAGAGGAAAGGGCATTGCCGTTTGGGGCTGTTCGGGGGTGAGAGGGGCTGGGCCGGGCTGGGGATTCTGGTCCTTTTTTTTTTTGGCTGCGACTATGTTCTTATTTGGTTTTAATTTGGGATGATTTTATGTGGGGAGCAGGTGGGCACTACCATTGGGTGGTGATGAGCAGGGGAAGGTATGGCATTGGGGGTCTAACTGGCCTACATAGGAGAAGGAGGGACCGATGTTTGAAGGAAGGACCCTCTTCTGGTTATTCCCCCAACCAGATAGTTCCTGGCAGCAATATCAGCTGGGCCCCAGGCCTGACAGTGTTGCTGTTAAATGCCAGGTCGGTCCACAATAAAACATCTCTCGTACATGATTTGATCAAAGATGAGGGGGCCGACCTGGCGTGTATTACCAAGACCTGGGCGGGAGAAGGGGGAGAGGTCTCCCTCATGCAATTATGCCCACCCAGGTATCTGGTGCAACATCAGCCAGCCCAGAGGGGAGGGGAGAGGAGATCTCTTTGGTTTACCGAGCCTCCATTTCCCTTGCGAGGCTTCCTGTCCCTTCAAGACCAAGTCTGGAGTGTTTGTGCCTCGTGTTGGGTGATCGAAACAGATTAGGGACTGGTGTACTGTGCACCCTCCTGCCCAGCAAACTCCCTGCCTGAGCTTACAGATATCGTCTTGGACCTGGTGTTGAGGACTCCCAGGATGTTGATCCTGGGGGACTTCAACCTCCATGCCAAGGCAGTTCTGCCCGGGGCAGCTCAGGACTTCATGGCTTCCATGGCAGCCGTCGGGCTGTCTCAACATATCACCAGCCCAACCCAAGAAAGAGGTCACACGCATGGTTTTCTCAACGGGGCAGGAAGAGGGTGGCCTGGAAGTGAGAAATTTGATCCTAACTCTTTTGTCATGGTCAGACCACTTCCTTGTGAGGTTTGAGCTTGGGGATGATCTCTCCATCCTGAAGGGTGCAGGCCCTATTAAGATGGTCCGCCCCCAGAGCCAGATGGATTCCTGAGGGCTCTGTGGGATTTTCCGGAGGCTAAAGCTGGTGCTCCTGTTGATGTCCTGGTCAATTCATGGAATACGGAGATGACCAGGGCAATTGACATGATTGCTCCGAAGCATCCTCTCCCGCCTAGCAGAGCCTGCTCGGCACCATGGTATATGGCTGAGTTGCAGGCGATGGAGCAGGCTGGGAAATGACTAGAGTGCAGGTGGAGGATATCTCAGGACGAATCTGACCGAACACACTTACATGCTCATTATCAAGCCTATGCTGTGGCGGTGAGGGCGGTGAAGAGGCAGTTCTTCTCAGCTTCCATTGCTTCCTCACAGTGCCATCCAGCGGAGCTTTTCCAAGTAGTGTGAGGCCTGACACACTCTGGCCAGGAAAATGATGTGGTCACACCTTCGGCAGTCCACTGTGACAACTTTGCCCAGCACTTTAAGGAAAAAATCGCTCAGATTCTCCATGATCTGGACTCCACATTTGATATGGTTCCAGTACGGGAAGTGTCCAGAGTGCCGTCTGGTCCATCATTATTGGATTAGTTTCAGTTATTGTGGCCTGATGATGTGAACAAGGTGCTTGGAATGGTATGTCCTACCACCTGTCTTCTTGACCCTTGCCCCTCTTGGCTACTTAATGAAGCCAGTCATGGGATTGATCCCTGTCCCCTTGAAGGAGGCGGTGATCCGGCTTATCCTGAAGAAGGCGTCTCTGGACCCAGAGGTG